ATATCTCTGTCGCAACATGCGATCGGAATTTGGGCAGAAAACCGGCAGTCGAAAATGGTCATGAACCACCGGGTAGCCTGAATATAATACATAGACTGTGCAACCGAGCGTTAGCGAAGATATATCCCCTCATCACCTGGAGTGGGAATAATACGTGCTAAAACAAACCGATTTTCGCAACGGCCAAGCTGGCCGTACGAAGATGAAATTCGCAACTTCTTTCTGGCTCGTATAGCGGCCGGGGTGGGCTGAAGGGAGATATTTTGGCATCAGGTGGCTGTCCTTCAAAGTCCGAGCTCGTATTGCACCATACAGCCACCCCTCTCAATTAACATGCTCAAAATTGATTATCCAAAGATTTCCTAGCAAAATGAAATTCGGGTTAAGAGGGGTTTCGGGAATTGGGACTTTGGAGCGGGCAATCAAAAATTCTGTGAAACTGAGACGAATATCAAATCGCGGAAGGAGGATGGCTTAACTAGACCTGATGCTAAGTGTGTGGTTAATGGATCGCCTGAGCCACAACATCAATTGCCTGAATGTCTTACAGTAGGGGATAGAAATAGATCCTGTTCCTACCCATGGGGGTCTGCCCACAGTTCCTTAAAAATTGATAACAAGGAATGGAAGGTTTCCACCGACTGTGACAGCGATAGTGGACCATTTCATCCTCAACCGGTAACCGTGTAGGGGTGTACGCTGTTTCTGTGACTCAGTGGGGGGCTCTTCCCTTTCGGCCGAACTGAAATCGGGAGGTGGCTAAGGGAATAGTGGGGTAGCGTATTCTGACTTCAATCTAGATGCTTCAGCAGAGGGCGCGTTGGATGCCATTGCCAAGTTCTAGTATTAAAAACCAAGCGGGAAGAACATCGGGAGTAGAAGGGCCGTTCCCAATGGGTGCGGGAGGGGTGGGTCGGGACGGCAGGGTATAAAGTGCGTCTTTCGTAATTGGCGAGTCCGGAGGGGTTGACTCCTAGTCCTGTAGTCGCAACCATATGCTCACCCGCAGGATTCCGCCATCACGGCCCTCCCGTCACGTGCATTGGCTCCTAGAATATGACACTAGCAAAATTGGGACACCTGCAGGCCCTGGCTCTCTGTCCCCGGAATCCTACGATGCAAGGGACGTCGGTCACGTCGACAGCCAAAAGACTGAATTGCAGGGAACCTTTGTTGGCTGTGAGGAATCGTGGGAACTCCGATATAGGGGCTGTGGTCCTAGTATTTCGAGAGATCATGTGCACTTCCAGATTTAGTGATATGGTCTTAATAATAATAATCAATGTTAATATTCAGAGACCATATCAGGGCAAACAGTTTGCCCGTGGGAAGGGTTGGGGCTGTTGTACTACCCCCATGAGAGACTCTTGCTGGTATCGAAAATGGATGTTGGCTGGTACACCACGAGCCGTATTCGGCACTGGACCCGCCCTCCGTGCCAGCCTAGGAAATCCTGAAATCCGACTTTCGTTGGACGCTGTACCTGCACATCAGCAATCATTGGCTTACGTTCCTGTATTAGCGGCGCTGATAGCAAAGCTCACCTGAGTTGTGTAGGGCTTGGATGGAGGAAATGTTGGAGTGCATTGTCAGATAGGCAATGGAGCGTTAGTTCAGTATCGGAATAGCTTGTCGGTTCCCATTGTATAATGGGATATGTAGCTAGATGTGATGAGCACAAAAGCTAGCTTGCAAAACCGGAGTTCAAGGGGTGGCGGAATTATAGGGGGCCAGATCTGAGTCTTGGTTCTTCTAACCGAGAGGCCAGAACAATATATGCAGGTAAATGTGGGGGATGATAGTGTTGGAGCTCTCATGCTAGGCTGACAGGGTCAAAATATGATATGAAAACCGAGCGGAGTCACAGTCGGGATAGCGGCTGTGGTATCCCAATCGTTACCCGGCTTGGATATGTAGTATGGTCTTCTTCGATCGGGTAAATACCCTGTCTCTGAACGTTTTCTTTGCGTATGCCGTGTCTCCAAGAGGACTACGGAGGGTGAGCATGGATGGTTGTTGCACATGGAATTGGGTTTAAGTGTTGTGCTAGTCGCTGGCTGACAGCCCGTTCGCCTCATTCGTTCTAAATATACTCACGAGTAGTGAGCGTCAGTCCAAATTTGTGTTCAGAATTTCGTTTTGAGGCTCTGAAGATTATGACCTTGTGTTAAACAGTCATTTGATATAGCACCACTAGAAGCTCAAACGACTGCAGTGCTATAAGTCGCCTTCGATTGGCCCCAGACATTCGGGAATTAAACCGAGGAACCCGAAAAGAAAAACTCCCCGTTATGCGATATTACTACCCCTCCGACCGTGTTAGTGGCACACATAAAGTCTATACTCGGGGTATCACCCCCACGAACCCACTCGCCAGCAAGACCCTTGCTGGCGAGTTGTTTGCCATTGTTGGTATATCCCTATTCTCCGAAGAAGCAAAGATGTTGAAGACACTAACTACAAGTCGGGATAGCCAGCGCTCAGTGGTTTTTCAATCACGACAATACGCGGAGCACGTCTCCATAGAGGTCAACTATTTAACAATACTGTGATAGATGAGACTACTCACCGGCAAGATGGGAACCAGATTCTTTCAATACGGCAAGGGGAGACGCTGGAACGCAGAACAATTGTTCCAAGGAAACTGCTTTTCACGCTTCAAGGGAGGTCAGCAGGAATTGGGATTAGTCCAATGGTGTGAGATTTTACAGGCAATATATTTATGAGAGGGAATGAATAATGCGAGAGTGGTATATCTGAGAAATAATAAACATCTTCATAGGGGTCAATAGGAGTAATCTCTTCGGCTCTCGATTTTGCAGTTATTGGTAGATCTTGACCCCGAGGTAGGTTTCGTGTATATAGTATCCGACGGTATCTAGCACCTTCCTAGCTGTCGTTTACACTTTGGTTATGAGCACCCACAATGCTGAGGTGCATATCGCAACGGACCCAGTCGATCCTCCACAAATATTCCGCTCACCGCAAGAGAAGTAACAGGACGAATCAATGGCAAGAACGAAGGAGCCATGACAGAGACAATTTGAGGGTGCCGTACGAGGAGAAGCTTGATAAACCTCTGGGTTTGCCATTGGCATTGAACCTAGTATTTAGGGAAAGAGAAGATATCAATCCCAATCGCCGGAGATTTCTGCGGAGGAAGCTTCATTCTTCATTTCATGGTATTATGGTATGTTATTTCCTATCTTTGTGGAAAGGCCCGGTGTTCAGTGGCGCGCATGAGGCGTATTATCTGTATTGGGTAGCATGCGCGCCCGGTTACTGAGATCTAGACCATGCATTGAACTGGTAATTGAATGATAGATGTGTACTCGGGCGCATAGCGGGCTCCCCATTGGCTTTCAATTTGCGATCATCATGTGGGTAAATAAACTCGTTAAACCAATTTCTCTCCCTCGGGAACATTGTAATTTACTTCTGTTCAAACTATGCAGGATTCCCTACCATGGTGGCAATTTCATTGTTCATTTGTATGGAAATAACAAAGGGCAAAATGTCAGACACATGCAGCGGGAGATTGTTGAGACAAAGCTGTCCAGTATCCAAAATCTAGATTCCGTGAAGGGGTGTTTTTAATTCATAATGTCTACCGAGTTCAACATAGCTACGCCGCTCGAACAGCGGCATGACCCGGTACAACCACACCTCCCAGCCATACTGGTCTCTGCTCTGACTCTGCAGATCAAATGTCGTCTTGACAAACAACAACAAATCTGTGCGAACATCATTGAGCATTTTCAGCATTCAAATCAAAGCCATAAGCCAAGGAATCACATTGATCGTATTCAGCTGGGATCACAATATTGAATAGGAAAGAAAAACGGAAAGTCTTTAACTCAATGAGGCGAACGGGGAAAAACATGTTACCAAACGGAGAGATTATTCGGAGTATCATACCTGGATAGGGTCGATACACTGAACAGAAAAAAACTTATGGAACCTACTATGGGTCGGTACAGTTCCATTTTTGCCCCGGCGCCTGCTGTCGAACCGGGTAACGAAGCGACTGCTACGGGGTATCGCCATTATGACACGGTGTCATTCATAACGCCGTCACAGTATATATACTAGGCACCTCAGCATCTTAGTAACAAACACGATTTCACCAACACCACGGACACATCGCTCTCGTCATAAGCAATCATATTCTCAACTATGTCAGCGCCAGTCATCTCAACAAAGCTGTCAGGGAGTACTCATCACAAAGCTCCAGAGATATCTGACTCTCGCTCCTATACCTCAGATACTTTCAGCGCACAGTGGGGTTCAAAGACCGAGGGTATGTTTTCAGAATATTGCTATTTTTGAGCACTTACCACTCGACAATTTAACGTCTTGAATTTCTCGTCTGTCCTTTTACGTTTGATATCGGTCACATATTGGGCAGAGGATAAGAGCTCAAATCCGGTGCCTTTACGTACTGACTTGGCCTCCAATCCTTAGATGAACAGAGTTCCTCATCCGAACGGTCTAACCGAATCGGGAGAGATATCGCAAAATACTCGTCGAACGTCGCCTCAAACATCCGATCCCGTCTTTCCAATTTGTCAACAAAGGTGGTTAGCCCAGTACACCTACACCAACCTGCCGTAAACAAGCTTCGTGATGGCTCAAAACCGTCTCCACTGAATAGTTATGGTTCAGGCCACTCTGACCTAATAGGAATAAACAGGTCCCATCCTGCGATACGATGCGGAGATTATCTGACCTCCGACAACACACCTCTAGATCAGGAACCAAATATCTTTAAACAATCATTTGCAGCAATCCTAGGCTCTATTGATAAGACAAATACAGTTGTCTCGTCATCTTCTACCTTACCGTCACCTGGCTTGCACCTAGACGGTGGTTCGGGTGGCTCGGCACTCAATTTGGGCCCCAACTCGGTTGAATCAGTGCCACTTCCCCAGGCAATTGTACGGGTTCCCATCTCCAACTCTGCAGTTAAACCGGGTGGCTTACCCGATTTCCACACCGACATGCAAGTGGGGTTGACCCCTAAGCAATCAGGTATTATGAGTGTGTTAACGTCTCAGTCTTCTGCCATCGTATTTGGTTCTCCGTCGGATACTCGTGCACCGGTTCAACACTTCCGGGGTGGCGAAAATACCAGGGGAACCGCAGAGCAAGATGCTATAATCTTAGCCAACCGTAAATCATCCCACAATAGGCAATCGTTTGAGCCTCGGAACAACCTAGATGGCTGGCCCAGCGATGGGTTCTTGGGTCTCCATCCCCCGGAGCAGGAACAATTGGACAGCTACGATGGAGTGGATACAGCCGATAATACGGCTAATTACTTGTTTTTGCTAGCAAATGCTCAACGCCAGCCTCAGGACACTATTGGTGCTTTTCACAGTGACCTGAATGCCCCAGCGGCGCTTAGGTATCCCCGCGGGCCAGCCTGCTCGAGTGGAGCCATGGTGGATACTTCGTGTCCTGTCCCTTCCCAGGGACTCTTGATTAATAGCTCGTCGGATGCGGCAATGGGGGCTAATCGTAATAGAAATATTTCAGGTCACTCAATCCCGACAAGTATTGTCGGGATAAATGATAATAGTAATGTCATTATAGAGTCGAGCCACCATGAGAGGCAAGACACGGGTTCTCGGTGGGATAGGGAAACCAAAAACTCCCAGGAAATGATATCGGGCCCTACGTCTGTACGCCGAAAGGCCGAAAATGGCATTCAAGGAACTGTACGTTCACGAGTAAAGAAGGCTAAAGGCCGAGACGGTCAAGCAATTTCCCTGAGTGGAGGTATCTGTGATGAGCAGGATGGTAGAGATGATGAGAATGGCAAAGGCACCGCAAAGATGACCGATGAGGAAAAGCGAAAGTCCTTCTGGGAGAGAAATCGGTACGTATTTTGCTAGTGGCTCGATGTTCGACACCTGTTGACTTGGAGCTGTTTCCACTAAACCATGACGTCATTCCAGTCTCGCCGCTTTAAAATGCAGGGAACGCAAGAAAAAATGGATTGCGAACCTGGAAGAAAAGGTCGAGAGGTTTTCCCGTGAAAACGCTAAGCTCTCGGCGCAAGTTATATCCTTTCGTGAAGAGATTGTCTCGATACGGACGCTGCTACTTGCATATAGCGACTGTCCTGTCGCGCGAGCAAATACGGGAAGTATGTCCACACCGAACCGTAATTCTGGCACCTACAACGAGTATGGCCATATGACCACCGGTTATTATGACATTACGACTTGCATGGGGGGTGGAAACATACCACACCTTCCAATGGGAGGGGGGTATTCTTAGTGGAGGGGCGCGACGAATAATTACCGAAATGATAGAAAAGAAAAGCTATGATTCGCTAAGGCTCCTTTGATGTTTCACAGCATAGGTCTGTGGGGAATTGGCAGGTTTGAAGAGTATGCATTGGCCGGCGAACCTATTCCTTGTTTTTAAGGGGTCCCTCTCCTCTATTTTCCAAATGGGATATTTCGAAGGTTGCTTCCTCCTCCCGATCATGCAATGAAGGGATCGTTGTTTTCTGTTTCTTTACTTTGAACTGCTCTTTATCTTTTGCCTACAATTAACCAGTCTCAGACACAGTGGTTGATAGCCTTAAGGCAAAGGGGGGGCCGAGGCAATGCTGAATTGTTTATTACTTTTATCTGGATCTCAGAGTTTCACTAGCGAAGGTTACCAACTATCATAGACCTTTCTCAAAGAGACGATGACGCTTTTCAGAGTTTAGCCAAACAGAATTAGAAATTCTCCCATAGTAGCGAAACATATTCGGGTCCAACTCAAGTCTTTTGTTGCTGCGTTGCAGGCTATCGACATGGGATACCGAGCGAGAAACCTCTGGGTAGTAGTCAATCGAAGAAACCCGCTTTGGGATAAGTGGATATTTGCAGATCAGGTGGCATCATTCATGTCTGTGATCCCACGCCCATATCGTAGAGAAGCGAACAGACCCCCTACCCGGAGCGTAAGATATGATCGGCCCCAAATATCGCGTCGCTCTGGGCCTGGCTATCCATTTCTAGAATCCTAATTCCTACACTAAGACACCCCTGGACACCATCCCTGAGGGGGTGACCAATACTCCCCTGTCCGCGCGACACTTCAAGGGGGCAAATTCCGTACCCTAATCTCACAGGAGACATAGATACAGGCTGCCAGAACTATACATCACATTTCACATACTTACAGTGAATTTCCGTTGGTCCCGTTAGGTGTTGTTTACGAGCCGAGCGGGCTCGAGTCTCTTGGCTGAGGTGGAAATGTGGCAAGAGGTAGAGGAAACCCGTGGTGAAGATGGGAACTTCAAGGGATACACAGAAGGAGATGGTGAACTTCCGCAGGGATTGGACTCGGGGATTGGGGGAAGGTCCTTTGACCAGTTGTATCTATTTTCAAGTTGCTATATATAATTGTTGGTTGTTCTGAATTATAAGGGCAGTGTGTAAAGGTATCGTGGCGACTCTAGACTTGAGCCTCTTGGTGGCTCGAGTCCAGGGGTGCCTCGAGCTGGCTCGTGAACAACACTAGTCCCATTTAAAGTAGCATGTTCAATCTCGAGACCAGCTGGCACCATAACCACTCACGGAATCCAAACCTTGAGCACTCCGATGACCCACCCTCATCGGTCTACAAACCTTAAGAAAGTCTAGTTCGACTGACGTCCTATTCTGGATGCACACTTGCAGAGAGTCATCAGGATCGGTAGAATTCTAAACACGGAAGGCAATTGGTATCGGGGTGAGCGGTTGAGACATTCTTTGACTCATCGATGTTTGTACTAATAATTGAGAGACATGAAAACTAATCCTGGCAAGAAATTGTAAATATTCAGCGTTGTGTATTACTGGAGATCTCTCAGGATTAAGGGAGAGGGAATAGGGAGCTAATGTCCTACTCTGGGATCTCTTGACCTTGGCTTCTTGGCACCGGTGCCCGTCGCCCTGCCTATACCATGATGCCCTTCTCAATGATTTCCGACTTTATTTTCCCTCGATTTTGCTACTCCCTTATTAAAAGTGAATGGCCAGTTTGGGGGGCGGACAAGGACACCTGAAGTAAGATATAGGAACAGCCGCAACTAAGTAACCTAAGTACCAGGCAAATAGAGGAGTATAAATTAACCACAAAAACGCACTATCCTATGCTTCCTGCGATCACCGCATACCTCTAACACGCGCCACACTCGTCCTGATGGGCTTCCTTTGTAGTGGTACACCCTGATTCACCCCGGAATTGCGGCGTGGGGAAGAATAACCTCTGTTATCTCCTATTTGTGTATTTCTTTGTCAGATGTTTTGTCTTTTAGTCACCGCTCCCAAATCAGCCCGTGGTAATTGATATACCAGGCAAAGTACTAGATGCATATTCTTGGTCATGTAGGGTCGGAAATTGTGCGAGCCAGGGAGGTAGATATCAATATCTCGGAATTTGGGGAAAATTACCGGAACCCCGTAGGTATCCCCGACATTCCGGTGGTATAATAAAAGGAAGGGGTGTGTTTGCTATTCTTTCTTCGTCACAGTGGCCCGAACACTTAGGATGCCAGATATCACTTTGTCTAGACAAATTATCGTACATTGAATAAATAAAAATGATAAGCAAGAAAGTTAGAACATTCAGTATCTAAACTATCTCCAACTTGATTCCATCCCCGCACTTTAGCTCATTCTCCGTCATCATACAACATCATCCTTGCCCCCGCATGTTAGCTTGCTATCTAATGGGAGAACGAACGACAGACCCCCCGAAGACTATCAAGTTGCCTCCCACACTCCCACTGCTGACAAAAGAGATACAGAAGCCAAGGCTACAGACTGTCTCTAGCTCCTGGTGGTGTATAGCGCCTGTCGCCCTTGTAGTGGTTATCCGTCGGATTTGCTTTGCCAAAACCAGCAACCAAAACGTTAGCCATAAAAAGGTAAGTCCGCCTGAACTACAAACGAGAGGCGGGGGGGTACGGGACGGGCGGAACCGGACAAACGACCAGCTCCCTTGCCGTGCGACGAATAGACGGCAAGGATAAGAGACTGACAGATAGAGATGCCGACAAGCAGATACGCCGACCGGCAATGGAACGAGTCATGAGGATGCCGAGCACCATCCATTAGTTCCAACCAGATGTAAGGCATGTTGTTCATAACAGCCATGGTTAAGTATCAATTTTAAAAATATATTGAGGGATTGAGCATCTCTCAAGATATCATGTCCCTACATTCAGCTCTTCCTGGAGTCCTATCCGTCGGTCTTCGGGGTAGGGCGGGGTTCTATACAGCTCATATTCCGTCCATTCCAGGGTGCTGGGACGGATTCCGCTGCAGATGGTGGGGACGGAACGAACCGTAGATGACGGTAGGACTCCCGCCCAGACCTCCAGTACTAGCCAGGTTGAAATCAAACACCAAGAAACCATCTACACTGACTTCATGAGACATCACTAGAGCTGTGACTGGCCTTCCCTGAAGTAAATGGAGAATATAGTAGGGGTTTCCACAATGAGCTTTGAGTATAATATAGTGACAGTGAATAATAATTGATTTGACTTCATTTTCTCCCTCTCCAGCTATCACGAAAGTGGAAGATAGCTATATACTACACAAAATTCAACCGCCTAATTATTCATGACATCTGTCAGCTCCATCTCCGCCAATCTGCAACACTCCAAATCACTCCCAAACCACTCCTCTCATCTCGTCGCATAGGTCCAGACTGCTCCTCAATACCTCTCCTTGCAGGCGTCTAGGCTGCTCCTTGTTTGAGGTTATCCGTAGGCGCCGACCAACCACTGCCACACTACAACAGTCCCCAACAGTCCCCAACACCGACTCAGTTATCGCCTGCCGCCATCAACCGTCTTCTACCGTCAGCTGCTGCCTCCAGCCATCTACCCTCCTGCCCCTAATCTAAAATGTCTCACCGCGTAGGGCCCGCTGTCTTTCCAAAGGACGGCTGTCAGAGACCTTTAGCACCCTGGACGGGCTATATAATCAAACACTGTCGCTCTGGATATGGCAATAGTTATTTTATAATAATCGTTCGTAATATTAAGGTTTTGCTAGCACTATCTGCGATGAGATGTTTCTACATATGAAGATCCTAGCCCCGGCTTAACCACACAAAATTATTGGTCAAATTAATATAGAAATCACAAAGTTGATTTCTAATCCATAAATAATGTAGACATGGGGAGACTGATCTGTTATATGGCGAGTAAGTGACTTGTCAAGTGGCCAATACATGAGACCTACTACTAGAACCAAGCTGATACAATATTTGTCCAAAGTTCCTATTACTTGCTTGCTCGACACCGCTACGTTCTCAAAACCACTTCCTCCTTGAAGCCTCCTCGGTTTTATGTTCCAGATGGGTGGAGTATACTCTCTCCTATACCATATCTATTTGGGGAGCACATTTATAGCAGTCATTGTGCATGCGTAATTGCGCCTTTTATGACTCATCCATTATTTGGTAGGAAAAACCTGTCCTGACACCTCCCGTGTCAATTTCAGAGGTTGTAACGCCGAGATATTAATATACTGATCCATCGCCCAATATGCAGTTCAGTACTTCGAACGTATCTACCAATCTCCAAATATATCGAATATTGTTGTCTAAGCTCAATAAGATCTACAGGTTCCTTGGCTTATGGCCTTGCTGGTCTTACTCAAAATACTAAATTATGTTGGCCCAGGTTTTAGTCTTTGCTCTAGGAGAGATGCGATCTACAGTGTGAGAATAGATGCCAGCAAGGCTGGCAAGCTTGGTTGATCTGGGTTTTGACTCTGTTCAAAGAGGATAGCTATGTTGAACTGGTTAGGCTTTATGAATTAAAAGCTCCCCTTCCCAAAATTTCGATTTTTTGGATACCAGACAGCTTTGATGCATCAGTCAACCTCAATATGTGTGTTTGCCGTTGCCCGTTGTTGTTTCTATGCCGATTAATGATGAAATCGCCAGAAAGGCAGAGAATCTTGGATTGTTTTGGGGGGAGTAAATTAACGTCGTTGACGGGGAAACCGCTCGGTACCGGGATCCGGCTCGGCGCCAAGATGAGGTCAAATGCTTACCCTGCACACAACAAAAACAACCTCCCCGGTCGCGTAGATTACCGGATCAACACAAAATCTACAATGATGCCACGAATCAAGTAGTTAAGGAAGGACGAAAAAGAAGTATTGCTTCAGGTGGCCGTTAAGTTCTACCATGAGAGTTCAGAAGCTTCGATCAAGGGTACAGCCGAGAAGTTTGGTATCACTTATTCAACCTTGCAGAGTAGGTTGAAGGGGGCC